GCCCAATTTGGCCATTTCCACATTTCGCTTCAAATCTTTCCTCTGTCTTGAAACAAATTTGTCATTTAGAACAACTTTGGCTGAAGTGTTTTGACAAACAAACCTTTCCGCCTGAGCTTCTGGGTCCCTCTTGGTTCCCACGGTTTGTCATTTATGGTCCTTCTTCCTTGGTTTGTCGCAAAGATGTTTTATGCTTTCTTCTCCCTGAGCCGAAACTTGTTCAGCAAGGAAGCGTCAAGTGCCAGCTGTCAGATGTGGATTTTGAGATGCCTTGAAACCTTTACAATTTGAGTCCCTCCCAATCAATCCATCATACATGCTCAGTGCAGCATGTCATAACAGAATGCAACACACATCTTTCTTAATTGGGCCTTCCTTACAAAAAAGGCTGGAAAATAGTATCATTAGCACTCGTGGAGGAACAAAGAGGTGTACTTTTCTCTTGGACTTTCTTTTGCCTTATTGCTAAAGTTGCATCCCTTGGAATTGCTGACAAGTTCCTCATTCAACAAGCATGGGTGGAGGCGAGGCCTGTCTATGAAACATAACCTTGTTGAACAGTGGAGATAAACATCCAGAAGTTACCAGAGGATGATTGCTGGCTAGGAAAAAAAGATTGGTATGGAGACACTCTGAGGATATGTCCTGATAAATTTGGTGTCGTTCTATCCACTAGCGAGCAGATCTCACAAAAATGCGGACTTGTTTCTCCTTCGATAGCCTACCATCCCATGAAGTAGAAAATACCCAACTATATTTCCTAGAATGCTGCCTTTAGAAAAAGAATATTTTAGTATTCAAAAAGGACAGGCAGGGGTAGGAGTCTCTTAGTCATCTCAACCTTTTCACCATAACGATGATCCGATGAGATAATACATCATTTGTAAGAAGATCATGTTTCTAAATGCCTCTAATTTTATGCAAAGACATATTGAATACTTCTTCTTCCTCTCTCTCTCTCTCTCCTCGGTATTTAGTTGTTCTGGTTTCAGATACCCCAATAGTCTAGATATCAAGGACATAGACATACAGTATACAGAAGAAATCAACTTCCCTCTACATAGCCTGTCCTACAGATCACAGACAAACAGAAATGCTGTCCATGGTGCTGGAACAAAGCACTTTACCTAGAGAACCTTTACCTTTACCTATGGGTCAGGTTGCCACATGCATGTATTTCCACTTCATGATTTGCCTTTGCTGTATTAACAGCACTGAAGTTGGACACGAGATCGCACTTCTCAGAAAAGTTCTCAATGAAGTATTGTAAGAAAACTTAATAAAGAACTGAAATGTATAGACCTCAAAATCAATAGCAGCTACATGATATCATACACCTCCATGACTGAGAGATTGTTTTCTTTGAGATCAAGGGCAATTTTCATCAATAGCAAACTTATTTTGCATCACCCTCGTTGAAATATGTTGACCCCAAATAATAATGACGAGGAAGAAACTGGGGATGGGGATGGGCCTGTTGGTACTATTCCAGAGGACACACCCAAATGCCAGGTACATGGTCATCTGTGAAATGACATAGATCTAACTCCAATTAAAACCATTCTTTGGGAGCAAAAGACAAAAAGGTGTTCCCATGCTAACAATACCAAACTTGGTGATTGAACCAGAAGATAGGCACGAGTTAACATTTTTCCTCTCCAGCTCCAACTTCCTTCCACCAACATCCATCATTACCTCTTTATTTGCAGTGTTTTTCCTCATCTCACTGTGAAGATACTTGTCAATACGAAGGTTACAGACTCTATGAAATAGCTAATCAATCAGGTTTGTGTCTAGCATTCCCAAAGCTGTCACCCATAAATACTCCAAAGCAAACAACAGCAGGCACTCATAGTCTTTTATACCTTCCTATTCACATATCAGATTATTCTAGAAAAATCTTCTGTCTACCAGATGTTGTCATCTCTGTTTCTCAACATCAGGGTTCACCACTTCACATTGGCTGGGATCGAAAGATACCCTATGGCCAAAAATGCTGTCCAGCTGCATTTTAGTTTTTTAAAAAACACTTTATGTGGTCAGTGCCAAAATGTGGAGCCATTGTTTACAACTCTTCAGGTGACAACATTGTAGAATCCCTTGTAGGAATAGATCTGAGTCAATTCTGTAGCAAAATACTACACTGGAACACTGAAATGAAGGCCGGGGGGCTGTTTTTTAACTGCTTTCCAATCATGGTTACAAAGAGCTTTGAGTCACAGTCTTGGGAGAGAAACATGCTATACATCAAGTCTAATCAACGAATGTCTATTGGCTCTCTCTACACATCTTGTAGCCACGATGGCCATGAATGTTCATGCGTTGCAGCCGCGGCCCCCTGGGCTCTTCCAGAAAAAGCCAAAGTTTTTTTTTTTATCCTTTTACTCCATCCTGGCCATGAGGGGCTGAGGACTATGCCAGCATTCACACCTAAACATCCTTCAAAACAGGTGCTTCTCTGAAAACGGCTTCTCTTTTGGAAATCTTAGAAGTTGGTTGCAAGATATTTTAGAAATCCTGTTACTTGCTAGAGCAATATTCTAGATCTGAAACTCAATCTCTCTCTCTCTCTCTCTCTCTCACACACACACACACACACACACACACGTATCTGCCAAGTGAAGCCCTCACCGCAAGCTTTTGACTGGAAGGCTCTGATTGCAGACATGAACCGTCAGTGGGAAGGGCCACAGTGCAAAACATCACACCGTCCACGCCCAAAAAACAAAGGAAAACTAAAAAGAAACTATGCTAAAAGGAGTAACGAGAAGGTTACAGAAAGTCTCAAAACTAATCGAGACAAGACATACATTGTGTGGATGACAGGAAAAATACCAATAAAATCAGTGTGCATCCAGGTAATTTTAAAAACAAGAAGTGCTCCATCTGGATAGGTTTCTAGGCAGACTCCTTAGATGATCTGGAAATCTAGTATTGCGGAGCGGGGAAGAAATAGCCATTGCTTCTTCCCATCTTCTACACCATGTACTGTGTCCTCCTGTACCTTTTCCTTCAACTAAATAGTGTCACACCTTACAGCCTTTCCTCAGAGAGGACCTGCTATTTAGGTTGCCCACCTTGATGCCTTTTGGCATGTTATAAAAATCGCTTCCTAGTCATGGAGTCCAGAACGCATGTGTGGCTCACCCAAAATTTTCTAAAGGGCATTAGAAGGCTGACAGAGACACTCTCCCAATAATTCTTAGCATAGGCTTTCCCTTTTTCCCCGTCTCCCTGCCTCCACCACACACCGAGTCAAAGCCAGGATTAATATTCCTTTATCTTACTGTGTTTCTGAAAATCCTACATTTGAAGCAGCAGAACTGTGATCTCTGAATTGCTTATCTTTATGGTCTGTCGTGTTTTCGAAATTTTGTTTGGTTTTTTTTTTCCCCCATTATGTTCTCTTATTGTGTAAAGGCTTCGACAATAAGCACCAAGGCATTCGAATAAACCCATTAGAATAAACCTTTGCAAAAATCATTTTGTTTATTGAAGTGTTCTAATCAGTGTTTAATCTCTTCTTAAGACGATTAAGATAAAGGCATGATCAAGCTGAAATTGCAAAGAAGTCACGCAGTTATGGAAGTGTTTGAAAGTGAGAGGGGTAGAATTTTGGCCGTGTTTTCTTTGCATAACAGAGATGGATTTTTAGAGCCAGAGAGTAAGGAATAACCTTTTGCTTCAGCCAAATTGTCCTTTAGAATATTGACAGCTGTGTCTTAATGGAGCAGTGTTGATATACCATTATGGACTTGCAAAGCAGAATTAATAGGCATTTCATGATGACTCTTCAAGGCCCATTAGCATAAGTCCCATCTTATGGGCACAGAGTTCACAATACACGTCCTCCAGGGAAAACTTGTACCACATTTTTATCTTCTCACAAATGGTTTCTGGGACTGAACTGCATGGAAAGTGTGTGCTCTCCTTCCAGTGAACTCTAGTCTTCTCCCCTTTCCATCTACAATCATCAACGGAAGAAGGCAAGACCATCTGTGGTTACCGCTGCCATGGGCCAGGATCCAAATCTCAGCTAGCATGCCTTCCTGGCCCAGCCTGCTAAGGTTCAAACATGGTTCAGTGTGGAACCCCTATAGTTTTAGAATCATGGAATAATGAAGTTGGAAGGGACCTATAAGGTCATCAAGTCCAACCCGCACTCGATGCAAGAATACAAGTCAAAGGAGATATGCCAGGTGGTTGTCTAGTGTAATCTTTATTCCAGGGAGAGAAATAAACCCTGTCTGAGTGATATCTGGGCAAGCAGAGCATCTCCAGATGCAGCATAAAGGGTGGCATAAAGGGATGAAAAAAAATGATATTTTTGCAGCTGAGAGATTTGCCAGCAAGTAAATCTCAGTGGGAGGTTCTCACAGACAGCAGTGGCTTGGCTTCGCTTATCTTCTCCTCAGTTTACTTGCTCATCTTAAAAACACTGCCTTTAAAAAGGTACCCATCCATTCTCTATCTGCAGATAATGCTTCTAGAAGTGGGGCAAAAGCTAGAAGGCTTGCAAGAGTTTAGTTGTATAGTAATCTCTGCCAGAAGAAGCTTCCCTGGTTTCCAGCTTCACTCAGCCCATGAACTGATGTTTTATCTGGTTAAATTTAATGTGGTGGTGGAGGAGGAGAACGTAGCTTGGGCAAGCCTCATCTTGCCTCTCTCTCTCTCTCTCTCTCAATCTCTCTGGTAACAGAGGAGTCATTCTTAGTTTTGGCTGAGTCCCACTTGCACAACATGCAGAATTTGCTCCTGAATTCTAACTCAACAACAGCTTCATTATGGACACTAGTTCTTGTTCTTAAACGCAAAGTTGGCCTTGCCTAGAGTAGATCTATGGAAACCAATGGGACTTAAGTGTGGCTGAACACCCTTCCACCTTTTTATGGGTCTATTCCAGGTAGGACTAACACGGCATTTGGGCATAAAATGTTTGGAATGTTATGCTTCGCATGAGTTATCCCAGTTCCAATTCTTCTCCCTCTGTGGCAAGCCAGATCCTGAACCTGGAGGGCTTTTCTTCATGGATTTCCCAAACGTGTCCTGGTATGACAGCGGCTACGACAACCGAAGCCTCAACCAGTCCAGCCTAGAACAAAACTCTCACCACTACAACTACTACGCCATGCTCCTCACCCTCCTCATCTTCGTCATCGTGTTCGGCAACGTGCTGGTGTGCATGGCCGTTTCAAGGGAGAAGGCCCTTCAGACAACCACCAACTATCTAATTGTGAGCCTTGCTGTGGCGGATCTCCTCGTGGCCACTCTGGTGATGCCCTGGGTGGTCTACCTGGAGGTAGGTGTGTTTGTGTCATTACGAAACGCAAATATCCGATTTCTTGCATATTCAATAGTTGTCCTTTTGGTGTACCACTTTGAGTTGAGACTTATCCTCTAATATTTTATACATTCCCATGAATACCAGTTGTTTTAGATCATCATCATCCTCACTGGAACATCAAGTCCAGCCCATGTTGAGGAGGTCCAGTGGAGGGAATCGAACTCCCAACCTCTGGCTCTAAAACCAGAGACCTAAACCCCTGACCTATCCATCAGCGGTGTGAGAGGAAGGGTTCAAAGTTGGGGAGCCCCACAGAACAGAATGCTAGCCTCCACATTTTGCCTCTTCTTCTCTCTCCTGACAAATAGCTTTTGAAATTAAAGGGTGCTGTGCCTACTGATGGGCCCTGCATCATCATCTCATTTGGCCACGTTCACTTATGGGTCTAAAGCTGATCAGTTTGGCAGGATAAGAAGGAGGTCAGCAGGGGAATTTGGGCTGGTCCTTTTCTCCCTGCCACGGACCTCCTTTCAAAGTGACCCACCGCTGAGCTCAAGAATTCTGTTCGTTGGCCTCCAAAGCCTTGACATCTCAGACGGAGCCTTCTACATCACAGGAGGGATATCATCTGATCTGGTCTTCCTTCCCTTCCTCCTGTCTCTGCCATCATGCCATTCTGCCTCCTCAAAGACAGCTGCCTGTCTTTTCCCCCCCTTCTGGCAGTCTTAAAACCTCTTTTATGTTTACTGCTTTGAGCCTCAGAAAAGGGGTTTATAAATATTTAAAGCAAAATATAAAATAAATTCATCACTGCGGCTTGGACGTTTAGGACCCTCAGAGGCATCTTTGTGGATGAAAAATGAACTCGGCACCTCCCTGAGCTTGGAAAATTACATCATTGTCATAGTTATCATTATTATTAATAAGATATCCACAAATCTCATAGTTCTGATCTTCAGAGATTTCTCAAAGTTGGTGTACTACTGATTTACATCCCTCTAAGAGAGCAGCTACATGGTCAAATACTGCAATAGTTGCTCTGCTTAGAAAATGGGTAAATCTGAATTATTATTTTTTTACTGAACGCATAATGCAAAGGCTAAATTGAATCAGTCCAGCCCTTTTTTGCTCCCAAAGTAGCTTTTTAAAATCTACTTGGGGGGGGGGTTTCTACTTTTCCAAGCCAGAACAAGTTGAATTGACTTTTTCTCAGACGGTCATTGTGATGCATTCTTCTAAAAAGGGGCAGTGTGTCTGGAGGTGGCGTTTAAGTGACGTAGGCAGTTGGGACATGATGTTCAGAACCGGAGGGGTGGGGGAGATGCAAAAGCAAAGCACTCTTGCTGTGAAAGCACTTTCTCATTTAAAGCTTCAGATTACTGCATTTCTGAAATGATGTCTTTATAGAAAAACAGCAAGTCTCATAATATGCTCCATCAAAAGTTTAAACAGTCATTTTGCAGAAGGCATCATGATCCACCGTTCCAAATGATTCCAGTTGGCATCCCCATTTGCCAGCACCTGTCAGATACTTTTTTCTTTCACTTTCAAGTATTGCATGCAAGAATGAACTCATCTCTGGTGACATAAGCTAGTGTGGACTAATTGAAACACGTGATTTTTGCCCCTGCAGTATTGTATTGTATTAGCAACCATTTTGCCATTGTCATTGGGTGTATGTGCACGTATGTGGGGAAAAAAACCCAATGTAATTTTGTTTTGTTCTAGGCATTATTTTGAAGATTTGGGGCTAGGAAGGCCTCTCCAGTTCTGGATGATGGTTCCTGGTGTCTTTGAAGCTCCAGTTCCTGCCCCCTCCGTACTGTTGTGCTGATTTTCCCTCTTTCCGCAGGTGGTCGGGGAGTGGCGATTCAGTCGCATCCACTGCGACATCTTCGTCACTCTGGACGTCATGATGTGCACTGCCAGCATCCTCAACCTTTGTGCCATCAGCATTGACAGGTAAAGGCTGTCTCTGTGGTTCCTGTCCAGCTGACCCTTACCCACCTCCCAAAGAGCATAACCCACCTACGCCCCAACGAAGCAGACACCACCCTTTGCTGTCTTTAGATATGAATTTTGCCTGGCATGCCTTTTGTCTTCTTTGCCTGTTCACCTGTACAGGTGAGCATCAAGGCTGGCCCTGGCCCATGCTTTCATGTCTCTTCCCACAGATACACAGCGGTGGCATTGCCAATGCTTTATAACACACGCTACAGCTCCAGGCGCAGAGTAACGGTCATGATCGCTGTTGTTTGGGTCCTCTCGTTTGCCATCTCCTGCCCCTTGCTCTTTGGGCTGAACAACACAGGTGAGAGTCACCATTAAAACACACCTTGGGCAGCGGGGGATCCATTCAGTCCTGGGTTAAAATCCAGGGGGGGCGGGTTGATCATAAAAGAATCCAGCACAATTTCTCTGCAATGGAGATTAAAACAGAACCTCCTACAGCTGTTTTTAAATACTTTTTATTGCTATTAAAATACAGACATAGCACGTACGGAACCTCCGGTTCATAAAATAACAAACCCGGAGGGTGAGATTGAAGGATTGCAAAGAGCGTCAAATCATTATGATCAACTAAGTATTTCCATAAATCAGCATAAGATGCAGGAAGCGACCTATTTATCTGGCACTCCTGTCAGTGTTCACACAGAACGAAAGCTGCAATAAAGATAAAGACGTGTGTGTTCACAAACACAGGGCAGAAAAAGAAGCAAGTACACACTACTTGGAGTGGCTAGAAAATTAAATAGCTTAATGTGTGTCTGTGGGTCACATTGGTCTTCCATTGGAGCACCCTCTCATTATTGAGATTTCACAGTTCTAGCCATCGTTCTCCTCCATTCAGGCAACTGACGAAATCAGCCCATAGATCTAGACTTATCCATGCTTAGATCAGGTCAATGAAATCTGCATAAGTTGTGACTTATTTTTGCCCCCGTTTGTTAAAGGCACGGATCCTACAGAGTATCAGCAGAGCAGAATGTTCCTCCAGGGTTGTGGCACTGCGTTCCTGGGCTTACACACGTGTAAAATACAGTCAAACGTTTGTTCTTGCAAGGAGCTACTGGTACTTCCTTGCACAAGTGAGGGGAAAATCTCAAACTGTTCATGCAGTCATTGTCCATACAATAGGATTGATCAAAAGGGGTCCAATCCATTGGGTCTACTCAAAGCATGACTAGATCCAACCCAGTGCTTTCAAAGAAGTTTAGAGGACTGTAAGGCAGAAAGGCTGGTGATGGAGAGACACAACAGGCCATGCTCCTAAATGATCAGGGTTGAAAGAGAAGAAATTTCCCCTCTTCTTAGTGGTGTTCCTGGTGTAAGGCTGAATAGGTTTTGTTGTTGTTTAGTCGTATAGTCATGTCTGACTCTTTGTGACCCCATGGACCAAAGCACTCCAGGCCCTCCTGTCTTCCATGGAATAGGTTACTAGGCCCTTTACAGTCATTTTCTAGCACTGCTGTCTGTGTGCCCTCTTTTTGTTCAGCATATTCACTGCAAAGAGGACACAAAGATTTTTTTTTAAAAAAATGCCCGTTCATCTATTTAATGGGAAAATAACAACTACATAGTATTCATCAGTATTCGTCAGCCATGGAAGGCAGCCCATCTAGGAGAAGGAAAACTCCAATTTCAAACCTCCACTGCCTTGTGGCTATATCCACCAATGGAAAAGGCTTCAGGAGTTAACCTCGAGGCAAAATCTGGAGCTGGAGTCCCGAAGGCAGCTCGTGTCGTTCTGCCAACTCCTGCGACATTGCTGGAACCAGTCGTATTGGCTCTTGCCTTTCCATTGGACCATTTCAGCAATGTGGAGAGGGGGGATCTGCTGCTTGGGTAACAGCCTATCCTCCATATTACCTTACCCGGGCTTCATGCTCTGGAGAGGACACTCCTCGATTCAGAGCATGTTACCATAGTCTCTCGAGACTGAAGGATGCCTATGATGATGAGGATTGATCAAACGGGGTCCAATCCATTGGGTCTACTCAAAGCATGACGAAGACTAGATCCAACCCAGTGCTTTCGAAGAAGTTTAGAGGACTGTAAGGCAGGAAGACTGGTGATGGAGAGACACAACAGGCCGTGCTCCTAAATGATCAGGGTTGAAAGAGAAGAAATTTCCCCTCTTCTTAGTGGTGTTCCTGGTGTAAGGCTGAATAGGTTTTGTTGTTGTTTAGTTGTAGAGTCGTGTCCGACCTTTTGTGACCCCATGGACCAAAGCATGCCAGGCCTTCCTGTCTGGCAGTTAATCAATGCTTGACTGGTAGACATCACTGCTAGAAGATCACATCCTTATTTTTGGAATTTTGGGGGTGTCCAGGACTAGAAATGGTGTTGAAACGCTGTCCTCAAAGCAATGCCTCTGCATCTCACTCATGCTGGCTGTAGCTCCTAATGGTTAGGGCCATGCTCTTGCAATCTCTTGTGTCTTCCAGAGGAGAAGGAGTGTATCATTGCCAATCCTGCCTTTGTTGTGTATTCCTCTATCGTCTCCTTCTACGTCCCCTTCATTGTCACCTTGCTGGTGTACGTACAGATATACGTAGTATTGCGGAAACGCAGGAAGCGGGTCAACACCAAACGCGCCGCCACCCCCGTGGGCCCGGACTCTGACACGCAGGCCCCACTGAAGGTAAGCAGCACCTAAGACCCCCCCCTCTCAAAACCACTCCGCAAACTCCATCATCTGCCCTCCCTGGTCCTATTTTATACTTTGACTTTCCCATCCCCTCTTTTCCTTCCCAAATCTGTGTGGCTTAGCGTTTTAGGATATGGAAAACCCTGGCCTTAGAATAAGTGGATGTTCCTTCCTAGTTTGTTGCATAGTTTCAGTTCTCTCTAGATTTGGGCTTCTCATGTCAGAATTGCAAACAGCCATGAGGTTTGGATGGAACTACTGTACGTAGGAGGGTTATGAAAGCAGATAGGAAGAGCATCTTTTATCGACAACTCCGGAAAGTCCAGATTGAGGAAGCAAACCTGATGAAGAACTGAGTGAAAGAAAAGGGCAGTAAGGGGAAACAAGTGAATATTAGTTTTAGAAAATGCTTTATCCTTCCCCCTGCCATGTACAGTGTGCAGAAAAGGAGCCCCTTGTAGCGGATGTCATTGCTGACACCACCAAGCGATCAGATGCAGAAATAAGGGCCCCTGACTGTTCGTATTCCCTGTTTCCTCGGAAAGCTTGTAGCAGCTCACGTGGGACTTCTACCCAAGCAAGCAAACGGCTGCCGTTGCTTCTCAAGAAAAGCTTGAAAAGCGGGGAGTTTAGCCAGCCCCTGGCAAAAGGGACTGCACAGATAAGGTGTGTTTCGTGTTAGGAGAGCAGGATGTTGGTTGGGTCAGCCAAAAGCAACACGACGAAGAGGTTCCAGCTTCAGTGCCTTAAGGATTTTCTTCACCCACCTCTTTCTCCTGGCATGACAACTAGGCCCTCCAGCTGTTCACTCTGAGAGACGGCACCACGGCCCTTCTCGCACCCTCCGTTCTCGTGCCTGGTCCTTCACTCCAGGTTGCTGTCCTCTTACATTACCTGTGTGTCCCTCCTTGCTTCCCCTCCCCAACCCTCACCCTCATTTCCCGTCCTCAGGACAAATGCACTCATCCCGAAGATGTCAGGCTTTGTACGCTCTTCCTGAAGGCCAACGGGAGCTTCCCACTTCATAAGCGGAAAGTGGTGAGTGCCGCTGCCATTCTGGATGCCAGGCATGGGTGGGGCTTTGGGGCATCTTCCTTTTCAACTGGACTCCCCCCCCGCCCAGATTCCCTTACAAGAGCTGGGAGCAACAGTAAGAGTCGTAGCGGGGCAAATATGCACATTGGATGAGGCTATGCAAACATGCTTAGTCCATTCTGTTACAAATCATGGAGGCGCTGAGCACCAGGGACCTTCTTTACACATTAGGAATACAGATGGGCACTGCTGGTTCGGTGGTTCGATGCAGTTCGTTTCCCAGCTGAACAGCTGATTCTCAGTCTGGCATTTCTCCTCCTCCAACAGGCGCCCATTCGGCAGCAGCACAACGCCTCTCCTCCTCCGGGCACTCCCTCCGAGTGGGTACCCGCTAGAGGGGGTGGGATGATGAACTCCAGATCAACTGTTTGGCTGGAAAACAAACTGCATTGAACTGCTGAGCCAGCAGTTCATGCCTACTTCTCATCAGGAGCAAAGTGAGTTCCTTCAGATTCTGATTTTGCCAGTGAAAGGCAGGGAGAGGAAGCTGGAGAAGTCCCTTGAGGTTGCCCATTTCTCTCCTAAAATATGCAGCCCCAAAGCCTGGCACACACTGGCACCAGCTCAGGAGCAGATTTCTCTTGAATTATCTGCCCAACAAGCAAAGAGCCAAGGAGTTTACAAGGAATGATCAAAGGGACCGTCCCTGATCCTAGTGTGCAGGTTTATCTTTTCGTAAGGCAGAGATGCTTGCCGATCAAATATTGGAGCCGTGACTTGGCTGATAATGTAGTTTTTTTAAAAAAAAATCAGGGTCTAAATCCAGCTGTGAACTTAGGCAAAAAGGAACCCATTGAAGCCACAATGAGTGTGAACTCAACAGGTTTCCACGAATCTCAGTAGATGCATTCTAACTGGATTTCAGGCTGTTGTTATTTAAACTTTGAACAAACACCTGACAAGCTACGTGGCAATCCTCGCATGGGGGAAGGTTTGATCAAAGGCCAACACAGGCAGATTTTCTCGTCCACTTTATGTATCTCAATTCTCGAATTATAGTTCCAAAACCAGGGAGAAGGAGCATCTGGGAATGAGTCACCCGAGATACATTCAACCAACTTGAAATTCATTAGGCTTCACAAAATATATGGTCAACATACCTTTGAAGTCCCACCTCATATTATTTGTATACTGGTGCCAATTTTCTGTTCCCTTCCCTTCCTCTTTGGCTGCTTGAGTGCAAACCTACTCCTTCTTTGTCAGAGAATTCCTTGGCTTTGATTCTTGCTAGAGTCAGCTTATAGGACTTCTCTTGACCGTTCCTCCTTTCTTGAACAAGTCCTTTCTCCAAAGGACAGTCCTCCAAACTAGATCCTTGATATACTTGAGACCTATTCAGGCATTAGGAATGTGACTGAAAGTGGACACATAAGGAGAAGGCAAGCCAAGCCCAGCCTCTTCCTCACTGTTGTCCTCACGTAGAGACCAATGGTGTGGAAAGGAGAACCTCAGCTTCACAGGAAGGGGCTACACCTGAGTGGGACCTCTGGTGTTTGTTGTTGTTGTTGTTGTTGTTGTTGTTGTTGTTGTTGTTGTTGTTGTTGTTTTGAGGTTCCCAGTCTTCACATGCAAAGTGACCAAGAGTCATTTTCAGACTCATCACTCTTCACAGGAGCAAGAGAAGTGATGATAGAGAGAGGGTGAAGCTCTCATGCTCCTTTCCTTATGTATTTGCTTTCCAACACATTGTTGACTCCATTCTTCCCTTCCGCACGTAGTTGGCTCCTTTTTCTGAGAACAAGAAAGAACGTGTCGGTATGTTTCATTTTCCTCCAGGAGGTGGCGAATCACATGGAAGAGATGGAGATGGCCACCAGCACCAGCCCACCAGAGAAGAGCAGACACCTAAAGCCGTCAGTGCCAAGTAACAACGAGCAGAGCCTGGCAGCCCCTTCCCACCCAGGCGCCAGCTCAGCTCTGAGGTCTCCCCAGGACAGCCCTCTGCCAGTGGAGAAGAACGGGCACACCGTGGACAACTCCAAGACAGCCAAGATATTTGAGATTCAGACTATGCCCAATGGCAAGACGAGGACCTCCCTCAAGACCATGAGCAGGAGGAAGTTTTCGCAGCAAAAGGAGAAGAAAGCCACACAGATGCTTGCCATTGTGCTTGGTAAGAGTCCTGGGTAGCTTCCAGACAGACTTTGGAAGGAAGGAAAAACTACAAAGATTCACTGGGCACCTTAAAGACTAACAGGTTTTATTTGGTGTAAGCTTTCATGGACCGTAGTCCACTTCTTCACATGCAAAGAATGTAAGGAGTTATCTAGCTACCTTTAATGAGTTACCTGTAAGACTGAAGTAAGCAGTTACATCGTAACCTGTAATGAGTTGCTTCTGTGGGTAATCAGGGTGCAGTTAAGTTATTTTTCAAAAGTTACTTTATAGGTGTAAGAAACATTTTCTACTTACTTTCAAAAGTTCCTTTCGAATTGTTTAACAGCATGGAGACTAGAATTTTTTCAAACTTGATGCCATTCTTTTCTCTTTAAATCACTGCTGCTTTAGAAAAGCAGAAAATGAGAGAAAAGAAATGAGGAGTTCAACTCGCTGTACTTTTCCAAAACCACAACAAGTAACAGCAACGGGCTACTTGCCAAAGATTGTGAGCAGTAGCAGGGGACGAAGCCTTCCTTCTTAAATAAAACAAAAACAAAAAAACTTTCAAAGCTCTGCTTCCCAGTTGTGGCCTAGACAGAGGTGGACCACCGGCTCAGGAACCCCTCTTCCCCCCGGTTTGCTCAATGCAACAGCTTAGAGAAGGGGGGAAGGAGAAATTCTGGTGCCGAAACACCAAACAGAGAGACACGGTTGACTAACAAGCCAAGCACAAAAGACGTACCCACCACGGGTCTGTCTAACTTTCTTTGAGTGCTGCCCATGCCTGGGGCCGCACCTCAACTTGTAGCAAAACTTTTCATAAGTAAGCGATGTGCTATGTGAAGAAGTCATTTCAGCCGCTGTGTGACCAACCTGTCTCTTTTAATGTATCCCCCTCTGCAGGTGTCTTTATCATCTGCTGGCTTCCGTTCTTCATCACTCACATTTTGAACATGCACTGCGACTGTAACATCCCGCAGGCCATGTACAATGCCTTTACGTGGCTCGGCTACGTCAACAGTGCCGTCAACCCCATTATCTACACCACCTTCAATATTGAGTTCCGAAAGGCCTTCATGAAGATCCTTCACTGCTAAGGATCTTGAGAAACCAGGAGGAGGACTCATCGTGTGGCCTTATTGGGGAGTCACGAGGGGAACTTGTATTCTGTTGAAAGCACACAGTGTTAAGATTGTCGTGCCAAGGTTGTTTTTCCAGCTGGGATATCACAGGCAAAGGCTGTCTTGTTTTCAAGATGACATTTAGACTCCGAGAGGCGGGCACGAATGAGTTAATTTCCGTTGCAACCTTTGCACTGTGCTCAAAATAAAACAGGAGCTTAGACGACCGCCAGCGATCACACGTGCTTCTGGTCAATGCAACCTACAGTGCATTAATCACAAGGGTTAGCTGTGGGATGCACTGATTTACTCATGCGTTGCTCTTAACAATGACATTACTCACCAAAGACGCCACCATCTTGTGTCCGCTTTGCAATAGGAGACTCCCTTGCCCACTTAAACCAAAAGCCAGCACTCTTGGGAATGGTGTCCATTGGCATTGCCTTCTGTGACTCTCTTGGGTCCCTATCAAACCACCGTGGTCTGGCGATGGAGGCTGTGTCCAGGCTTCCCGTGGAGTCACCACCCATTGTCAAAACCTAAGGGAGGAGAATGTAAGAAAACAGAATCTCAGGGCAGAGTGGGGAAGAGAATGCTATTATATGATACTAATGTATATAAGAATAAATAGAATGAACTGAGCAGAAGCCCGAGCCAAAAAAAGTGATAATAAATAAATAAGATATACAAAATCCTGTCTTGCATGGTATGCATTGTAATTAAAATGCCATCTCCAGTCACATCCACCAACATACCCTGTCACCATGCCAGCATCTTCTCAGATTACATCCCATTCTGCAGAAGTGAAACCAATGGATCTGGGAACCAGTTAGAAAGGGAGGGACAAACAGAGGAGAATGGGCAGGTGTAGAGAACAAGGCCACACCAAGCCTTTGAAACCACGGGGATGTTCGAAGAATGATCAAGGGTCAATGCTTCAGTGAATCCAAAAGTGTTAGGATTGGAGGTGATTCCGTGACAGAGTCCGCTGTTGAGAGAAATGGATTCAGGGCCAATAGTCAGGTCCTTGCCGATTGATTAAGTAGGTTGTATCCATGGGCAACTTTGGATCCATATTGCCAAGTGTTCAAAGAGGTCTCTGTGGTTCACTGTCTGGAAGCCATTTACCCACCGCCATCTCACGGAATGGGCAGCATGGTTGCCAGCGCTGTAACGGCTAACTGTACCCAGTTCACAGTCACTTTTGTACGATCTGTGCCGATATGACGCAGCCAGCTAATAAACTGATGTGGAAATGGCTCTCTGAAATTTAATTCCTGATGCTTTTTGGTGAATAAGGCAAGCAAATGTTTTAAGGCTGCAGTCTAGCAAATGTCACATATGATGTGGAAATGGCTCTCTGAAATTTAATTCCTGATGCTGTTTGGTGAATAAATGTTTTAAGGCTGCAGTCTACCAAATGTCACATCATGTGCCAGCAAGGCTGAGACAGAGCAGCACATTTTTGCCAATGGCCAGGGTAAGTATTCTCAAGTTTCAAGGTAAAGTGAAATACTGAACCCATGTCTGGGCGGCACCACTTTAGACTGCAGGTGGTTTTTCACCTCACTGGTTGTTGGAGAGAGAGAGAGAGAGAGGTAGAGAGAGAGATAGACAGACAGACAGATGGACAAACAGATGGACAGATGGATGGACAGACGGACGGATGGACAAAATCCATGGGCCTAGAGAGAACATCAGAGAGAATGCTACACCAGACATCTCCCTGATATGCTAATTTTCCATGTGCAAGGCCCTTCTTGTATGGAAGAGCACTCAATCCTGCAGTACAACTTAGAGCCCAAATTCAAGTTCCCACCTGTTTTGAGAAATGGAGTGTAGCCTGACACTTGAGTTTCAAATCTAGCTCATCAGCCTTTATCATCTGACCCACTCTAGCCTTTGACAAACAGAAGGCAGCTTCCATGTTGGTTTGGCTGCTGTTCATGTAGCTTGTGCAGATAACAAGTAAACTGGCCTTTCGACCCATCCCCTGGAGGATTAGGGCCAATCACACGCTCTCAGTTTTTTGAACAAGAACTACGATTGTGGATTACAGCATTCTTCTTTAGACCCACTTCTGTGTCTGAAGCCACATGTCTGAAAAAATCCACATGTCAGAAAGCATTACAAGGGTGCAGGTCTTTGGAACAGTTGTGCGTGAGGGTCACAGAATGGCGAAGCACTTCAAATGACACGTCAACAATGCAGGTCAAAGACCCAGGGCAGAAAAATCAGTTCACACTCAGGAATTACCAACAACAGCAATTTCACAACATGCAAAACTTTTTCCTTCCCCCACCCCCAGTTTCTTCCTTGTGGCTCTGATGCCATGACCAACGTGCATCTACTCGGGTGACATTTTAATCTCACTGGTCGAGGCCGGGAAAATCGCCGGTTGCTTTTGTTCCAATCGTGCATTGACATTTATGGTGTTGGAACCTTTTCATTAAACAGGATGGTGAATCAATTTGCCAGATTGAGTGGGTTCCTTTGAATTCACACACACATACACACACACAGACAGACACAAATGTACACACAGAGCCAGGCCATGGTGGAAACTGGGCAACCGCTTCTCTTTACCGTGAGTTCTCCCAAAGTTTGATGTTTCCATTGCCCTGATCAGGAAGAGATGTGTTGCCTCTGTGTGCTTACGGAAGAAATTAATCTTTGGTTTACCTGTAATCTTGTTAAGCTCCTTCTACAAAAGCTGGCCTAATTGCCGT